AGAGAGAGACAGAGAGAGAGACAGAGAGAGAGAGAGAGAGAGGAAGAGAAGGAGAGAGAGGAGAGAGGAGAGGGAGGGGAGAGAGAGAAGGAGGGGAGAGAGACAGAGAGAGGGAGAGAGACAGAAAGGGAGGGGAGAGAGAGAGGGAGGGAGGATGAGAGAGAGAATGAGAGAGAGAATATAATCCTTTAAGTTTGACCCCTGGTCTCTACATCCATATATACATACAGGTACACACACACACACATAACATATGCATATATGCACAGAAAATAATCAGAAGAAAATTAAAATGCAAAGGCTGGCTTGTGACTCAATTTCATAACTGTGGTGAACCTCCCCATGAACTGTATCCTGTGCCTGGGAATTCCTGCATGAGGGAGATGTTTGTGTCTCTGGGTCTCACTGAAGAAGCCTCCACGAAGCCCAGCATGAAGTGTAAATCTCTTCTGAGGTCTAAGAGATGTTCTACAGACTCAGCACTTACTAGGCGTTTCCATCTCACCCAGGCGTATTCTTGGCTTTTTTTTTTTTTTTTTTTTTTTTGTGAGGTTGGATGTGGGATGGTCAGATCGTGTTAAGTCACTGAATAAAAGATGGCAGAATGTGGGGAGATTTGTTTCCAGGGGTTGTAGCTCCCTTTAAACACCTCCCACCTCTGGCCCGTCGCTGCCCTGCCGTTGGGTACTCATGCACCCTGTGCGATTCTTCAATGCACCTCAGATCTGGAGTTTGTTGGGTGCTCTGATTGTTGTCTGTGCTAATAGAGTGCTGTCTGTCCAGCTTTGGCATCTCTCTGGGTGCTCATGGCCCCTGCTGTAACAATCAGATGTGTGTATCAATGACCGACCTCTCTGATTGGGTCATCAGTCACCTTGTCACCTTGCTCACACCCAGGTGACGGCTCTTTTGATCAGCTCCGTGTTGCAGAAAAGGGAGTGCTGAAGTGAGCGTGTGTGTGTGTGTGTGTGTGTGTGTGTGTGTGTGTGTGTGAATCATAATTAGTAAGTTCGAGGACTGGGGACCAGCACTCCCACTGTTATCTGGCTCTGCAGTGCCATCAGGTGTTTCTTTGTTTTGTTTTGGGACAGGGTCTTGTTACATAGGCCACCACGTCACCAGCTATCCTGAGCAGGTGCTTCTTCAGAAAGAGAAGGGCCTCTGCTTCCTCTCTTTCCTTGAAGCCTGGGTGTTCTCAGTGTGTTGGGGTCAGTGTTGGAAAGGTGTGAGATACTAGTACACCTCACTCAAGTCCTGAGGCTTAACTTTACCTTGTATTAAGTATCTTAGAAAAATGAATCTTCTATCAGAACTTCACTTCTCAACCATGACAAAGAAAATGTGGTTAATTTGAGTGGTAAGGACTGTATTTCAGCCAATTGTGTGTATACAAATAATTTTATTTGCATTTATTTGTGTGTGTGTGCCCCCGTGTGCTGTAGTGCACTTGTGGAGGTCAGAGGACAATTTTTGGGAGTCAGTTCTCTACTTTTACCGTGTAGGTCCCAGAGATCAAATTCAGGACAGCCTTGGTGGCAAGCACCTTTACTCCCTGAGCCAGCTTGCCTGCACAGTTGATTGTAGTTTTAGCTTTTCATTTTTCCTTTTCTTGTTTGTAGCATCGTCGAGACTGAATACATTAGAGTTGTGTGTAGCCATCCTGAAGGCTTGGGGTTTATACTCGGGCCAGGGATCTGTGTATGTCTGTTTGGATTGGTAGGTCCACCGTCTTTTGTTTTCCCAGCCTGTTCTGTGTTTTGGGAGCCAGCCTGTGTAGACCACACCTGCTGGCTTTGTGGCTGGCTGGTAGCTGTTGGCTTCGTCTTACAGAGAGAGGAGGCACCGATTCTCCAAGCCTTTTCTCTGCAAATGCATGGTGAATGGCTGCTTTCCCTGGTTAACGGTTACATCCTTGCATTCATGGGGTCCTGGTTGTTCTCCCAGGAGCGCCTCAGGGTGCAGCTGTACACTTCTCTTCTCCACTCCTGGTTTGTCAACTTCATCTTAGTGTTTGAAAGCTGCTGTGGTGGGTACATTTATACCTTGAGAGCTGGCTGTAAACCACTTTCCCCTCCTGAGGGTCATCTTACTACCACTCTGCCTCCTCCATCTTACCCCTCGATCCTTTATGGAACATTTCTTAAGCAGCCATCAAGCTCTCGGTTGAGCAGCCCAGTGTTCTTGGTGAGATTGGCCCAAGGAACCAGTGACTTGTTCTGTAGCCAAGTCAGTTTCTCAGCCATTGTAGGAACCAGTGTGTGCTGTGTGGGTGAGCTTGGTGAGAGATTTGCCCTGAAATGCTCCTTTCAATGTACGAACACTCAGGTGTTTGGCCCGAGGAAGGCTCCGTGTACTAACATCATGAAGTATGTTCACTTTCTTGTCCATATTTTCTCAGCTTTATAATCTCACATGTCAAAAGAGAGCATAAGTGGAGAGTTTATCACAGTCACCAGATGCTAACATGAGTTCTGGTCATTTATGGCAATTATTAATTTTTTTCTAGACTGTGGACCAATAAATAGTCTTTCTTAGCTGTGTGTTGAAGGTTTAGTATGCATCTTCCTTGACCTTCCTTACAACTCTATTCTGTGGGGGCTGCCGTTCCCATCTTACAAGTGTAGAGACGGAAGTTCGAGGAGATTAAGTCAGTGTGGGTTAATTTCCGGCAGCAGAGTCTCTAGAGGCCTAAGAAGCAGAGTCTCCCGTCTCACATCCTACTTAGTGTGAGGGTTTAGTCCCAGTTGCTGACTAGACACATCCTAGACTCATCCGGGAAGAGGGTCTCAATGCAGGATTGTTCAGATTAGGTTGGTCTCTGGGCATGTCTGTGATAGTGTGTCTCCATGAATGTGGTAAGGCGACCCAGCCTGAAAGTGGGCAGCCCTTTTCCCTAGGTCTGGGCCTTGCCCTAAGTACCGAGTGCATATGCACCCATCCCTCTCTGCTCCTGTGGGTGTAAGGCGGCCAGCTGTTTCAGCCTCCTACTACTGTGACTCTCCTGCTGTGATGGACCATAACCCTAGGGTGTTTCATCACAGCAACAAAAACACAACCAGAACACCCCAAAACAGAAACTCTGGGGTGGGACCTAGCTTCCTGTGCTTCAGTGAACTCTCCAGGTAGCTCTGATGGGTGTGACAGTTGGGGAGCCCTGCTTTAGTGACAACTCCATCCATTTCTTCCTGTGTGAGGTAAATGCTTGCCTCCCAGGTACATGCTTGCCTCCCAGGATGGAGGAGTGTGTGTGTTGGATGAAGAGTGGATGCCTTCTCTGTTGACTTTCAGTCAATGTCTTAAGTTCCACTCACTGTTTATTCTTCTCTCTCAGTATTGTGGGTTTCTTCTTTGACCTACCCATCAACCCCTGCCTGGTGTCCCTGTAATTTCATACCTGGCTTCCTCTGTCACTCAACACTCTCTGTTTCTTTTCGCACTGATGAGACTTGAGAGTCTACAGGAGGCTCCCTTTTCTATATTTTTTTCTCTAACCTTTCAGCCACCATTTGAGAATGAAGAGATTTGTGTGTCCACCATTTTGAAATGGTAACATGCATTTTCTAGAGAGAGAGGAGGCCCTGGGTTCTAGTCTCCTGTCCTTTCTTTTCCAGAAGCTTGAACACCCAGGGCTTCACCCATGCTCCACCACTCTACTTACTTTTCTCCTCATCTTTGCCTTTAGTGTCTCTTCACACCCATCTCTTTTTGCTCAGTTGTCATAGTGATGCCTTCTCACTTTATGCCTCCCTGGGGAGCAGAGAAGAGGGCAGTCACTTTCCCTGTCCATCATGGAGGGTCATGGCTCAGACCTCTACAACATAAGAAACAGTTACAAGAGAAAAGCGCAGATTTACTAAAGTGTTTGGGGACCTGGGGGCCACACCAGACAAGAGACTCAAAGGAAGGGCTGGATGGTAGGAATTAAGTATTCTCTTTATGGGGAGGGCAGTGTGTGAGGATATATATATATATATATATATATATATATATATATCACATTTATTTTAATGTGTGTGGTTGCACACATATGCCATGACAGATGCAGGAGTCTGTTCTTTTCTTCTACCATCTGTGTCCTAGGGCTCAACCTCAGGTCATCAGGCCTGGTGACAAGCATCTTCACACTGATCTGTCTTGCTGGCTCTGTGATAAGTAACTTAAGGGGTAATAAATGAGTTTCAGAGAAGATGAATATGTTCAGAGACCAATCAGTGGCCCGAGAAGCGGTTCCCCTGGACTCTAGGTACAGTTTGGTTTTCTATCTCGTTTTCTGTGATGTTTAATCTTCCCTGGTTAATGAAATTCCGGTAAGAAGATTTGAAGGCAATTTCGTTCCTTGTTCTGAGATCCAGTCTCCAGGCAAATAAGGTGTTTGTTACCAAAGTCTCTTCTTGCTCTGTGGATGAGAAAGATCAACAAAGACTGACTGGGGTGGGTGGGGGCTGGGGAGGTCAGAGATGTTTGATTCTGAGACTTTCTCAGGTCCCACATTGAGAGCTGCTCCTCCATCATGTCGTCACTCCCGGTCTTCCTGTCTGTCCCCAGTCTCCCCAGGGCCCTCTCCAAAGGGCTTGATTCATGGCTAGGTCTCACTTTGGGTCTACTTCGTAATTTTGCATCCACTGTTGGCCTGTTCCCATACCTCAGACCCATGTCCCTCACCTCCCCCCCTCCCTCTTTCCCTTTCCCTCTCTCACTCTCTCCCTCCCTCTCTCTCCCTCTCCCTCCCTCCTCTCCCTCTTCCTCTTCCCCCCCTCTCTCTTTTTCTCTCCCTCCTCTCTTTCCCCTCCCATCTGCTTCCTGTCTCTGCCTGTTGCCAGCTGTGTCAAGCACCTTCTCCATTTTGTCTGTCTACCTCACTGCCACTGCCCGCTGATTTGTCTTCATTGCTCTCTCTGTGGTGCTGTCTGTCTAAACTGTCTGTCTGTCCCTGTTTGCTGTCTGTGTTGTGGTCCATGTGTCCATCTGTTCAGAGCTCCGTCATGTGGCCCCAGTCTCTGTACCACGAGTTGCCCATTACCCTCTCTCTGCTCATCAGCATGAAGGTGGTCAACAAAGTCTGTTCCCCTTGTAGGTCACTCAGACAAACGTCTGACTTTCTGTTCTCCAAAGAAAATCCAGTTGGACTGGCCCTAGTAATGGCTTGTTTGGCCAACCACCCACGCCTGCTTTAGTCTCTGTAACTGAAGCCCTCATGGGGGAAGTGAGATTTGGAGCTCTGTGATCTGCAGAAGTGTGCAGATGAGGGTAGATGGCAAACTGGCTGTGGCTGTCAAATGCGCAGTATGTGCCCTATGTTTCCACCAGGTCTGGGACAAGACATTCACTCAAAACCTTGTCTTATTAAAGTGAGCTGCTCTGGGATGTTTCTGCCCACTCTGATGTCATCCTGGGTCCCCACCAAGAATTTAAGTAACCCAATAGCAAATAGAAAACTAGCTTTAGGATTTTTTTCTAATACTATTGGGTAGTGTGTGTGTGTGTGTGTGTGTGTGTGTGTGTGTAGTGTGTGTGTATGCATATTTGCAAATCTGTGGCCTATGTGTAAATATGCTTGTACATGTGGAGGTCTGAGGTCAGGAATCATCCTTGGTTACTCTTCTGTTTTATTCATTGAGGCAAAGTCTCTCAGTCAAACCGAGAGCTCACCGATATGTCTGGCCTGGATAGCCAGCTTGTGTTGGGGAAATCCCTGTCTTCACCTGTCAGGGCTGGGATTACAGGTGGTCACTACACCTACCTGGCATTTTACTTGGATTCTGGGGATCTAAGTTGTCCTCATGCTTGAGTGGCAAGAACTTTAACCACTGTCTTAGTCAGGGTTTCTATTGCTGTAAAAAATATGCCAGGACCCAAAGCAAGGTGAAGAGAAAAGGGTTTATTTCATATTATAGCTTGTGGTCGACCATCTAGGACAGCCAGGGCAGGAACCAGGAGGCAGGACTGAAGCAGAGACCATGGAGCAGTGCTGCTTAATGGCCTGCTCCTTATGGCTTGTTCAGGTGCTTTCACAACTCAGGGCCACCTGCCCAGGGCTAGCATCACCCACCATGGGCTGGGCCCACACCTACCAATCATTGGTTAGGAAAAGGCCTCAAAGACTTACCCAAGGCCAGTCTGGTGGGGGCATTTCCAAGTTGAGGCTTCCTCTTCCCTGATGACTCTAGATGGGTCAAGTTGACAAAACCCTAGCTGGCAGAGCCAGTGAGCCATCTCCCTAGCTTCTACTCATTAATATATACATTTTAAGATTTACTTAAAAATTATTTGTGTGTCTCTGGGTGGGTATGCACACATGTGTGTGGATGTTTGTGGAGGCCAGAAGAAGGCATTGGACGCCCCGGGGCTTGGATTACAGATGGTTATCAGCTGCTCAGTGTGGGTGCTGGGAACAGAACTTGGGTCCTCTGTAAGAGCAGCACATGCCTTTAATGTCTTAGCCCTATTTCCAGCCCCAGTAGTTTTGCACACACACACACACACAGACACACACACACACACACACACACACACACACACACGTACCTCACAGGTTGCAAATACGAGAATGAAGCCTTTGATTCATCAAGCTATTGAGCTGGTTTTAAACAACTGACCATGTGGACATAGATGCTTCTTAGTTTTTGGGCAGGGCAATCACCTCTAGTTTATTAAATGTCATCCAGTAACAGAACACACCTGTGCCTTCGGGCACATCTTTTTCGTTCCCTTCCATGCTGCTTGTGAGGTGGAGTGATCTGTTTTTAATGTTTTTTATTTGATGCTGGATGAAGTTGCCTTTGAAACCGGGTACTTTGGGGTAACTACTCAGTAAACGAAGTGCTTGAGTTTGTTTTGGAAATTGAAAGCTCTCTTCACACTGTAATTTACAGACTCAATAAAAAAAATGTGTTTCTGTTGAATCACAAGCAAGTAGCTGTTGAATCTCTTGGGTGTTCAGTTTGTTTTATGCAAAGATTGGGCCCATGACAATTTAGAAGAACCATATCCATGTGGTTTTATTGTTGGAAAACACAAGAACAACATGTGATTTTTTCGTGTACTAAGGCCTTAGATGTTTGACTTAGGTGGACAAGAGAGGTTTAGCTTTAGTATTTCCATACCACCTGAATACAAGTGTTGCCAAATTTTGACCAAATTTTTCCTTCCTTCCTTCCTTCCTTCCTCCTTTCTTATTTCCTTCCCCCTGGGGGCAGGAAGATGGCTGGTTAAGAGCATTTGTTGCTCTTGCAGAGGACCAGTTTCCATTCCCAGCACTCACATGGTAGCCCACAACTTGTTGTAACTCCTGTTCCAGCAGATTTAATGCCTTCTGACATCTGTGGGCACCAGTCATACATGTGCTACACATAGTAAGCAAAACACTCATACACATACAATAAAAATTAATCTAAAAAATTAAAAGTCAGGTGTGACTTATAGCTGTAATCCCAGTGCTGGGGTACATGAGTCAGGGGGATTTGATTTCTGTGAATTCAAGTCTAGTCTGAGCTTCACAGGGGCACAGTGAGTTCCAAGCCAGCCTGAACCACAGAGCAGCAGAGAGTCTGAGAGCAGCCTGAGCTATACAGAAAACTCAAACAAAACAAAAAGTAACACCTGATAGGGACTTTATGTAAGTTCAAAAAGCCAAAGCCCTTGCTCCTTGCTCTTTGTCTACGCTTTATTACATAAATCTCCCTCTTGTCATTTATTGCAACTGTTGTTTTTCTGTTATTTCATTGTTCTTAGAGGAAGGCAAATGCATTTTTACTCATTTTTCTCAGCACGCCGATGCCCTCTGCAATCTGTAACACCGCGGCGGTTCAGGGAGGTGTGTTCCTTTCCGAGTGGAACTCTGAGTTATTGGCCGTGCATAGTACGGTAGTTACTATCCTTTAATCACCAGTGTTGGTGGGAACAATGAGCCCGGGCAAACCTCGTGCTGGATGTGGCTTTTATCTACATAATTGCCCACACCGAGTCACTTCTCTGTACCATTGCTTTACTGAGTTCCTCCTTTGTTATTTGTGGTAATTATGATGAAAAGCAATTTTCTAATAATTTCTCTTTAGAATGTCTCTGTGTTATGCTTTATGGGCAAATGGTAGGTTTGGGAGGATTGTGACGATCGTTCCTGCAGCAGAATGGCTGGGCTCAGGCTCCTTGGCTGAAGAAACTCTATGATGGGGGCGGGGAGCCTTTCCAATAAGACTTTCCTTCTGGAGACTGTTGCTTTTTGTCAGTGGACTGGAGGGGAACTGAGGAAGGTTGGAATTAGGAAACCTAGAATTTCAGTGTGTGCAGCCTTGTGGCTGTTAGGTATGGGAGGAAGCAATACAGTCAGGCTAATTTTCACAAAAGACCTGGAGACCCTGCAGACTCTCAGAAGACAGCCAGTGAATGCATCATGCCACGCACAGGTAGCCAGTTGAGCCCTCATGTTTACTGAGCAACGCAGGGTGGGCTCAGTCAGTTCAGAGAGTGCCCTGGGAGGCGGGTTTCATCCTCAGTGTAGACAGGTGGCTGACAGGAACTTACACGCTCTGCTGTAAGAAGACTGTAGTCTTTTTGTGTGCACCGGCACACACACCATTTACATTGTTAGGCGTTGGGAGTTGTCTAGAGACAACTGCAGCATACGGGAGGATGGGGACATGTAGAAGTGACATGCAAATACCATGATATTTTAAGGGCCCTGTGTATCTGTCCATTTTAATACCCAGGGGGAGGAGCCATTAGCCCTCACCACCACAGAGAGATGGCTGCGTAAGTAGCAAGAGTATATTTCTCTTCTTTTTTGTTTTGAGAAAGGGTCTTTCTGTGTAGTCCAGGCTGGCTTTGAACTGGCAATTTTCCTGCCTCAGCCTCCTTGGATATTTGAGTTTCAGTGTAAGCTGCTGTGTCCAGCAAGGGCATGTTTCTTGACTGGACTTTGTTGATTTCCCAGGAACACATTTAGGCATCTTCAGTGTGTGCACACTGGCCACCAGCGTACAGTTGTCTTCTGTTTTTGAATTCTTAGACAGGCTTGTAATTAAATGCTCCTCACACCTCACTCCAGTCCAAGCAGCTCCACTGAGCAGCAGCCATACGCAGTGTGGGTCACCTGACCATATTCCTTTGGAAGGTTTCTCTATCGTAGTATAGAGTCAAGCAGTGGAGAGGCTGCTTTCTGGGTGGCGGCCGGCTGGTGACCTTGTGCAGATGGGCGATTTGGGGGGGCAGAGCCACCCAACAACTTGTTCTTTGTTCTGAGCACAGTGATTCAGAGTCAGGTCTGTGGCTTCCAACTGATTCAGGGTCTGTCCTCCTCCCCAGTTCCACAGGGGAAAGGGACTTCCCACAGGGCTCGTGGGGATAACTTGTCTTCTGTGTTGTCTGTCCTTTTGAGTAGGTCTGAGGGAGGGGCAAGGTTGATTGACAAGCTGTCTTCTTTTTAAGCTTTTACTTTTTAAATGTGCTTTTAATTCAAATAGAATTACATCACTTTCCCGGCTTTTCTTCGTCCAACCTCTCCCAGGCATCCTTCCTTGAACCCCTTCCATGCCCCTTCTCAAGTTGATCTTTTTCTTTATTGTTGTTACATACAAACTGATGTAGGTATGTATGACTGTGTCTGCACAAATATATGTAAATACAACCAGCTGACTCCATTTTTGCTGGTGCCGTGGAATACAGTTTCCAGGCTGATGACTCTGCATTGGGCAGCAATAGGGGTTGTCCCCATCCCTGGGAGAGGCTAATTCTCCTGGCACTCATTAGTTGCTTGTAGTTCTTTGTCTGTGGTCAGGACCCCTGAAATTTCATCTTCCACATTAGAGCACTGTTGACATTGCTGTTGCTTCAGTCTTGTTTATGTGGCTATTTCTAGGGGAGACTTCCACGTCAGACTTCCTGGCACTCTGGCAATCTTTCCGTCCCCTCTTCTCTCTCTGTTGTTTCCTGAGCCATAGGTATAGGAGCTGTGACATAGACAGACATGTCCACTGGAGCTGGGCTCCCCACAGACCCTCGATCCCTGCCTTCTGTCCTGCTGTGGCTTTCTGTGGGGTCTCCATTTGCTATAAGGAGAAGCTGGTGAGGGGTGG